TGTATGCCTATCAGAAGCATTGGATGTGTTCTGTTCGTTTGATCTGAGTTTTGAAGTCTTCTTCACATGTAACATACAAGGAATTTAGTTGATATTATAAATGTGATAGTAACAACCAAAGCATATACAGCTGACCCTGGAAGAAGACGGGTTTGGCCCAAATGGGCTTCCGTTCATATGGTTTTCTTGTCCTTATCGCCTTTGTTGCGATTCCAGGGACCACACGTCTTGCGCTATCAGCTGTCTGTCAGCGTGTTGTCCTGCGGTGGTTTGTGTGTTACTGGGATGCTGGAAGCTAGGTCAGTGGTATTTTAAGTGCCAGCAGGGTCGCCCACAGCGAACAGGTTTCAGCCGAGCTCCCAGTCTAAGATGGATCGTCTTAGAGAAGAGCACCATGCTTGGTAAAGTAGCGGGGCAGCAAAAAGAGGAAGGTCCTCAAGGAGATGGATTGGTACTGTGGCTGCCACAAGGGCTCTGCACAGGAGCAATGGTGAGGATGGCAAAGGACCAGTCTGTGTTTCTCTCTGTTGCATCGGTCGCCATGGCACAACAAGAACAAGTCTTGTCAGTATCAACTGAAAACACCGTGCGATGCTAACCATCTCCAGGTCAGCAGTTGGCCCCTCCAGTTATGTGAAAACGATCACCTTCCTGTGGTATGTGAAGCAGAACTCACACACTTGAGCCCTCCCCACAATAGATACAGGAAAAGGATACCCTTTGTACAAGTGGACCCTGGCAGTTCAATACTGTGGTCAAGGATCAACTATAAATTACATGTGGATTTTTGACCGAATGAGAGTTTGTGTTCATCGGAGTAGACTAGAGAAACAAATCCAGGGAGATTCATATATGTATAAGAGTTGTAAATAAAGGGTAATTTTACATTAAAAGCCATAAGTCCGATATTAGCCCATATACCAATCTCTAAAGTCCTCTTCAGACTCACGAAACACATGTCATGATGCCAAATGCAGGACGGTCACAGGCCAGTGGGTAGAACGTCTTTGGATCCAGTGGCGTTGTAAGCTTCTCAGCACTGGCAGGGGTCTCCATGTGGGGTCTCCATTTAGCTTCTCCAGTTCTCAGGACACATGGTCTATCAGCATAGTACCATGTGTCTTGTCAGTAGAGAATCTCCAAGGGAGTGAGCCCAGAGAGAAAGAGTCTGTTTCCCACCGCCAATGAGGAAATCCAAGAATTCCCAGAATCCTCAGGGGAAGGCCATGCCCACCCAGAGGCCTCATTGGCTATATCCTGATTGACAGGCTAGGCTCTACCCTTTCACTCATAATCCTCTCGACACCAGATTATGTAGCTACCACAGAAGTCAACACTCCAACCCCCTACATTGTTCGAAGGTTAACTGTAAATCAAAATTCTTTTCTCAGTGATATTTCTAGTATTATGCAAGTGAGGTAGGCCGAGTTGACTAGAGAAACAAATCCAGTGACACTCATATATGGGTAAGAAAGGGCATTATGTCAAGAGTAATGATATATCAAGAAAACACCCCAGTCTAGTCCAACTCGAGTCCTTAAGTCCGCTACTAGTCCACAAGTCCCTCTTCAGACTCACGCAATGATGCAGAGTGCAGGAAGATCAGAGGCCAGTGATTGCAAGGTTGTGTGGAGTCAATGGCAATGGAAACATGGCAGGTCTCTGGCAGCTCTCAGGGTGGCCAGCAAGCAGGAGAGTGAAGGCAGAGAGAGAGGGGAGGTTCCCTGGGCCCTCCTAGGAGAAGCCATGCTCACAAGGAGGCACCATCAGGTTGCGACCTGATTGACAGTTTGAATGCCTCCCCCACACTTTTATTTACTTTTATTTGTTCACTTTTACATATCTTCAAGTTGACATAAAAGTGTGTAACCACCACACCAAGTAACAGGAAAATATTTAATTTCCCATAGGAGCGTTATGAGATTTGTTGTTGTTGGGTGCTATTTGATTTTTTTACTCACAATCATCCTGTGTGACAGGGTAAAAATGCTCATCGAGTCCCGTAGGTGGTGCTTCTTACAGAAGCAGAGGGCTAAGTCTTTCTTGTACAGGGCCATGCTGCTGGCTTCAACCACACCCTTTCAATTAGCAGCCAAGCCCCAAAACACCGTGTCACAAAATTCCACTCTAGGAGCAGAGAGTGATATAGATATTATAATGTAGACGCTGGATCTTATACTTTTGTCTAGGATTATTATTTTTAAACATTCGTGTGCACGTTGGACGAAAGTTTATAGAGCAGATCCCCAGTCTGACATTCAACAATTCTGATTCATCTCATCTCACTCACCCCACCTCCTCCCCATGTTTCCTGTTTCCATCCGCCTTCTTTCCCAACCCTCGGAACGCTGCCCTTGAGTCAATGCTTCCCTTCTGATCTGAAATGGTTGATGGTTCGAAACTGTGCAGACCTCACTACTGTTATTCTTTCCCTATAGACCAGGCTACTCTGGGGCTGAAAATTGAGCAAAGGCGGTACGTTCAGTTGCAGACATGAACAGTGACCAACGGTCTCTGGGGTTCCACCGGTATCTCTAGGATCCGTAAACCTGGTTTCTTTCATAATTTTGCCTTTTATTGTACTCCCCCCGCCCCCATTCTATTTAGGCTCTTCTAACCTACTCCCTTTCAGAGCAGTCGGTAGTGATAGCTAACCCTTCTGGTCTTGAGGTCAAGGAGAGGGATGTTTGAGGGGCATGTTAGTCAATTTGACCAATTGTTTCCATTTGTCTTTTGATTTTTATCACTCCTTATTTATTACCTGAAATTAATTTGATGGAACAGTGCCCAAATTCTTGGTTCTCTTTCATTCGGGTAAGTTGATATGTATTTTCATCAACCATTGATGCATTTCGCTCCTGTTATCTTCAGACATCTGCGAGTCCCCCTCCTCTCTTCTTCTATAGCCCCAGTCATGCTCACATGAAGTCACGTGAGATTGTCCCGTGTGTCAGAGGGAGCGCACCGCTCTGTCTCCTGCTCTGGATCCTGGTTCTGCTGTTCCTTGGTGTTCCTCTGGTTCCTGGTTCTGCTTCCTCCGCTGGTGTCACAGCTGTTGCCTCGATCAAGGCGGCTCAGTGCACCAGGATCTTGGGGTCCAGAGGACACAGACCACTTCTGGCGCCTTTTTGGCAACTCCCAAATTTTTCTTTGCATTTATTGTGTTTGTATTACAACTTCCAAATTGATGTTGCTGTAAGTGCGTAATTGAACTTTGAGAATTAACTTTACAACCTAAGTTTGTTTTGTTTACCTAATAATTATTATATCTTCATTGTAGAGTCCATATGATTTCAAATGGAGATCAGGTGTTCTATAAGAAGGAAATTGTTTTATTTTTTTTCTTGATGGATAGGTATATTTTTCTTTACCAGCTCTATTGCACTCTCTAACACAATGTTAAAATACGGTTGCTTAATATGTGCAAATTATGTTTCAGCACATAATTTCACTTATTTTAGACCATTTTATTGACATATAATTCACATGCTATCCAATTGGATGGTTTAACCATATTGAAAAGGGTTTAACAATCATCACTCCAGTCAATATAGAACATATTCTTCATTCTTATACTCATTATTAGCACTCCATTTCCCACCAAACCTCATTACCATAAGCCTAAGAAACCGTATATAACAGTTTTGATGACAAATGGTTCACGTGTCATACACGTTCATAGTTCAGTTGTGTTGAGAAGAGTTGTATAATCATCACCACAATTCGTTTCAGCACACTTTCTTCCCTTTTTAAATTCTTTATTAGCTCCCGTTGGGGGCCCATCAAGGCAATGTCAAGCCTTCCCCCCAAGAGCAAGTCACCCTTTCTGATGCTCAGAAGAGAGAGGTCTCAAGTGGAACACCCATCCTGCACCTTGACTGTGGATCTCCACATCAAGTCTTCAGGTCTCATCTGCTCTCGACATGAACAAGGTGAAGCTCATCCCGTCAGGCATCCCTCTGAAGAGTGGGTCACATGAGAACAGGCTCTACTAGGAATGTGAGTCTCAGAGAAGGGAGGTTGCAGCCAAGGACACACAGAGAGGGGACGAGAGATCCTGAATGAAACAGAGATGACATTTAGCCCTTCAGTGAGCATTCAAATGAAATACTCCCTAGAATTCAAAGACAGATCCACCCTAGAGCAGGAATCTATGACCATGGACACAGGGAGCCCTGAGGAGGCATCATAGCTCTGGAACTTGTTCCCAGGAACTTGGGGGACAAGATGCTGTGGATAAACAATGACAGACGCATTATAGGGTCTGTTGAATAGAAAGAAAAAGAAAGAAAGAAAGAAAGAAAGAAAGAAAGAAAGAAAGAAAGAAAGAAAGAAAGAAAGAAAGAAAGAAAACAACTCTGAAAGTCTGGGCAGGATCAAGAATCATATGTTCTCCCCAAATTTCCCTGCAGTTCTCTCTGTAGTCATAGCTACAGCGGACCTAGCCTTTCCATGTGGAGTTCGCTGGGAATGATTGTCGTGGCGAATCTGAGCTTTCAGAGTACAGCCTAAGTCTGCATCTTCCTGAAGCATCGCAGGGTCTGCCTTGAGGGTGGGCAATGCTAAGTGTCCAGCAATGACTTGTTGAGAGAGGAGCTAAGGGAGCGGAGTGAATGGCCATGGGAGAGGGGGCACTGAAGGGAAGTGACAAAGCGTTGGTCACTTCAACCTGAAAGGAATGACTCATGTCAGGTACAGGGTCCCCTGTCTTCTCCTGTTCAAAGGTGTGAAGAACAGGTTGACGTAGCCTGGGTCCAGTAAACCTCAATTCTTCCTGAAATGTCTCTGTAAGTGCAGGACCCACTCAGTGTCAGCCCTGGGGAACTGAGAGGCAGGATCAAGGGGAGGAGACGTTTCACTTCCTGTGAGGTGGCCGTCATGACAGCACCATGAAGGACAGAAGTCATTCTCCAAGTGTCCACAGCCTGTGAGCCTGTCTCTCCTGTTGGATGCCGGGGTCTCGCTGATCTATGCAGATAAAGACAGCGTGTGGAGCGGCTATGGCCACTGTGCTCACCTCCTTGCTCTGCCTGGGTAAGGTCTTTAGAGGGTGAGGAAACCCTAGTCTGGGCGGGACCCCTGGCTCACAGCCAGTTCTAATCTGTGCAGGCATCAGGAGGCAGAAGTGGGGGACAGGGTGTGCTCAGGCATTGAGGACAACCCTGGGATTTGTCCTGGGATCTCTCTTCCAGGGCTGAGTCTGGGCCAGAAGATCCACGCACAGGCAGGTGAGTCCTATGGGGTTTTCAGAGATGTGAGTTCTTGGAACTTGGTGGTGGTATGTCTGCAAGGTGAGTGTGTGTGTGTGTGTGTGTGTGTGTGTGTGTGTGTGTGTGTGTGTGTGTGTGTGAGAGAGAGAGAGAGAGAGAGAGAGAGAGAGAGAGAGAGAGAGAGGGAGCACGAGCGATGCGTGTGTGTGTGTGAGAGAGAGAGAGAGAGAGAGAGAGAGATGGGGATGAGAGCAGGGGGAGACAAGGTTAGTAAGAATCTCTTACATTCCCTTTCAGGAACTCTTCCCAAGCCCACCATCTGGGCTGAGCCTGGCTCTATGAGCCCCCAAGGGAGACCTGTGATCATCTGGTGTCAGGGGTCCCTGGAGGCTGAGGCATACTTTCTGTATCGAGAGGGAGCCAGAGGGCCATGGGGCAGACAGCTCCCACTGGGGCCCAGGAGCAAGGTCAAGTTCTTCATTCCACGAATGACCGTGGACTATGCAGGGCGAGCTCACTGTTACTATCTCAGCAACTCTGGGGCGTCAGGACACAGTGACCCCCTGGACCTGGTGATGATAGGTGAGAGGACCCTCAGGGATCCAACTTTAGGGTCTCCCTCTCAGGGAGGGTGTCTGCTCTCTCCCGGCCCCATACTATGTGATGCTGAATGATCCCTAAGCCCCCATGTAACACACCTGCCTCCTTCTGTTCCAGGGGTCTATGGCCAACCAACGCTCTCAGCCCTGCCGAGCCCCGTGGTGACCTCAGGTGGGACTGTGACCCTTCAGTGTGGCTCTTGGGTGGGGTATGACAGGTTCGTTCTGTCTCAGGAAGGAGAACATGAACAGTCCTGGCTCCTGGACCCACAGCGGCGCTCCGATGGGCTTTTCCAGGCTGAGTTCAGGTTTGACACCGTGGTCCCCAACCAGAGGTGGACATTCAGATGCCATGGCTTGTACAGGAACTACTCCCATGTCTGGTCCACACCGAGTGACTCGCTGGATCTGCTGGTCTCAGGTGAGGGACTCATGACCTCCCCCTTGCCTGACATAGGATCTGGGTGAGCAAGGAGGATGGGGAGTGGGGAGCTCATGGATTCTGAGCCAGAGAAATGGGTGTATATCCATGGTGACACTAGTAACTCCGGGAGGGGGACACGGGTGTTTGGAAAAAAAACAATTCTCACGGAAGCCTACTGCTTGCCTTTCTTAGGATTGTATAGGAAGCCGGAGCTTCTCCAGAGCCTGCCGAATCACCTCTTGGTCTCGGGAGAGCACCGGACCCTCCGGTGTCTCTCTGATGTCAGATATGAAAGATTCGCTCTCTTCAAGGAGGGGGGACTTGACTTTCAACAACAGCTGGCTGTCCCCCACGGCTGGCAACCCTTGATTGGGATCTCTCAGGCCCACTTCCACCTGGGCAATGTGACCCACAGCCATGGGGGAAAGTACAGGTGCTACGGTGGATACACCCACTCCCATGAGTGGTCAGCTCCCAGTGAGCCCCTGGAAGTCCTGGTCACAGGTGAGGAGCTGCCATTGTGTCCATCCGGGTACTCTCACACCGCACCGGCAGAAGGAGTCCTTGGGGTGATTGTTAGGGACCTAGGATGTGGACAGAGAGAACAGAGAAAGAGACAAGGATGGGGCTGGGTGGGAGAGGAGCAAGAAAGATCTCACAGAGAACCGAGACCAGGGAGACACTGAAGGTATCTCGTGAGTGCACAGGACTGACCTGTGGTGGCCGGGAGCAGCATCTGACCACTCCTTCTTCTCTCCAGGAGAGCTCCCTTATGCGCCTTCCCTCTCGGTGTGGCCAGGCCCTGCAGTGGTCTCAGGAGGAAAAGTGACCCTGCAGTGTGCATCGTCGAACCAAGCAGACGCCTTCTTACTCTTCAAGGAGGGGGGAGAGAAGCGCCTCCTGCACCTGATGGCCCGGCCGCAAGGCAAACAGAAACAGGCCAACTTCACCATGAACCCTGTCACCTCAGCCCACGCAGGGACCTACAGATGTTACGGTTCACTCAGCACGTCTCCCTACATCTTGTCATGGCCTAGTGGCCCTCTAGAGCTCAGGGTCTCAGGTGAGGGTCCCCAGTTCCTGTCCTCCCTCTGTTCTCGATGGTCAGTTCAGGGTGTTGTCCCCGCGATTGTCCTGAGCGATGTGGAAATAAGGGGAGCACCAAGCGGGGTTCTGCAAGGGGAGGATCCAGCCTGTGACCAGGAGGAGGACGTAGACCAGGATCTCCCACACCTAAACAGCCTTTCTCTGAATGCTTAGCCATGGCTAAGGAGAGAGAGAGAGAGAGAGAATGTGGTGTGGGAGAATTGACAAGGCATCTTTCTTTTTTTTTTTCATAATTAAATGGCTTATTAATGACGTTAACAAAGTGCAATGCCAGTGAGAAATGATCAGGGATGAGCTATCCCGTTCTGTCAAGTTTAATCAATGGCCAAAGGGCACACCACTCTGCTATAAGTTTCAACCTGAGCACATTTAGCTGAAGCTCTATTAGTTAGCAGAACCCCATTCCCCAATTAAGTGCTCAGAGGCACTCCATTCCACAAGCCAGTTTCCTGCCCCAAAGTGCCAAGCATTACTTGCTCTGTGGGTTCAGGGACCCCTCACTCTGTCTCCTGCTCGGGATGCTGGGTCTGTTGTTGCTCCTCTAATGAGAGAGCTGACTCTGGCTGGGGAAGGGTCTCTCCACAGGGATCTCATATCCACAAGGTGTGCTCCATCCTGGCTCTTGCTGGTAATGAGATCCCTCTTCCTTCCCTAAAGGACTCGTACACAGCAGGATGGCATTCCAGGGACTCTTATTTGAAATTCCTCGCAGGTGAATCTTAACAGTATCTTGCCCAACTTTCTTACCAAACCCCGACTTTGCCAACCCTTTGCCAAAAGAGCAGCATTGACTATGTCACCACCACTACACCCATATGGTTGCTAAGTGCCATCAGGTTCATACCTTGTGTCGTTTTTTATGAGAAACTGCCTGTTCCTGCATCACCTGTACAATTGTGTCCATTGATAGAGCCTCTATGTCAATCTATCTCTTTGAGGGGTGCCTTATTTTTTTTTTTACTTTTTAACTCATTTTATTGGAGGCTCTTACAACTCTTGTTATCAACCAACATCAATTGTATCCAACATATCCGTACATATATTCCATCGTTCTTTTCTAGACATTTACTTTCCATTGAGCCCTGACAGGGCATCTTTCTTAGAGGGAGCTGGCACATTGCATGCCCATCCATTCTCAATCATTCCCTACTATCGTCTTCGTCTCAGAATCAGAGTCCCTGGGTGTCCAGTCCCTCACCACCAGCCCTTGATTCGAGGTGTGGTGAGTAAGAATCATTCTTGGGACTCTAGAAGTTACTAAAGTCACCACAACCCTGCTCTCTCTTCATGGGTAGAGCAGTATCCACAGTAGAGCAGGTGTGAGGGTGGACGTGAGGGTCAGGGTCAGGTGGGCTCCAGTGATTGTATGAATGGTACAGTCTTTACCTCTGTAATTGTCAGAGGAGGAGAGTTGGTGGTCTGGGCTTAAAAGGGATGTCCCCAAGATTGAAGGTGTACCGAAGGGTCAGCCCCACAACTCTCCCCATGCAGATGTCCCCAGAGCCGTCACTACTCCCGAGATCCAGGTACCAGGAGCAATGACACTGGAGGCATTTATTCTGGGCCATGGTGGATTTTCTAGGAGGCAAGAGCTGAGCTCGTACGATTTCAGCCATCCCTTGGAGCTTGAGATTCTGAAAGAACCCTTTTGATGTCTGGCCCTGGGTTGTCACGTCTGAATAATGGAACTCTGCCTGCCATTAGAATTCAGAGTCACTCTCCTCTGTGATCTCTTGTGCGCCAGTCCCAGCAACAAGGTATAACTACAAGCAACCGAGACACCATAGGGAGGCCTACACCGGAGAACGGCTCATCACGGAAGCCGATCACAATGCTGACAGGAGTCGGGAGATGACCAAACAGAACATAGAGGGAATCAATTTGAAGGCCATGGCTTACAGAGGGTAGAAGGAATGTTGGCTTGAGGCACTTTCTCTCCTTATCCTCTCTGCTTTCCTTGTTCTCAGGACCTCCTGTTCAAAACGGTCCATCATTGAAGATGCCAGAGCCCAAGAGTGGTAAGTACCCTGGTCTGTTCTGCTTGGGGAGTGAGATACACATAGGATGCCAATGACCAGGTCCAAGGGAGGAAGATGCACATGTGGCCTGTGCTGATCCTCAAGGACATGTCTACCCCACTGTTTCCAGGTCCGCCTCTGCCAGATTACATCCTGGTGACTCTCATTCACACGAGCCTGTCGGGCTTGCTGCTGTTGGTCACAGGGGCGCTGGTATGTTTAGCATGGCACAGCCAGAGAAGAAACCAAGGGGCCAAGTGAGGATGGAGCTGCAGGCACCCTTTGGGCTTACAACATGCTCAGAATCTTGCACACGTAAGCTTTTGATGCACTCGAATGGCTGGCAAACCTAACTCGTAATTGGATTTGTAAATAAGGAAAACAGGGTTTTTTGGGGGGGCGGGGCAGAGATGTCCCCCGCCAAAGATCAACATCCTTCTGTTGCAAAGGAAAACATGAACTAGTGTCATTCTGGAAACTCAGAATTCAAGACTAGCCCTTTTTCTCATTCCTGCCATGGGGGTGAAGATGCCCTATGTGGATTTGGGGGTTTCGTGGTGGTGGGATTCGGCTGGTTCGCACCGGTTTTGCAGAACTGATAGCTAATTTTTGTTGAGTTGGGAGAAACAGTTGTTATCATGGAACTTGTAGTCTGGGTTCTCTCTATAGTGCTGCCAAATGTGGAAATCAAACATTTACAGAACTTACTCTTTTTTAATATTCATCTGCACAACAGTGTATTCTAAGTAATGTTCATTCCGTCCATAAGTATAAAAATTAGACAGAACTATGCTTGTCGTATTTATTTTAAAAATTAGACAGAACTATGCTTGTCAAGTTTATTTATTCATTTCATAAAACTTGTTATACTCTTGATGAAATACTATACTTTTATTTCCTTGTGTTTGTTACATCAGTCGACAAGCATAAATTTAAAAAAAAATCATTTTATTGGAGGCTCGTACAACTCATCACAATCCATCCATCCATCCATTGTGTCAAGCACATTTGTATATCTATTGCCATCATCATTTCAAAACAGTTTCTTTCTACTTGAGCCCTTGGTATCAGCTTCTCATTTTTCCCCTCCCTCCCCCATCCTCCCTCTCTCCCTCATGAACCCTTGATAATTTATAAATTAACAAACATAAAATTTAAAGACAAAAAGTGTCGTACAACCCAAGGGTGACAAGCTGTCATTCATTTCAGCTTTGTGATACACCTCAAATTCCCATGAGATAATTATGAGTGAATTAATTAATTCCTGAAAATGTTCAAAGGTCTAAAAATATTGTCAGAACAGTTGCTGTAAGCTCAGCAGAAGTGGAAAGGGGTTTTTCAAAGATGAACCAACTGTATTCAGAGAAGAGAAGTCACCTGTTTCAAATCTATCAAACGACTAGTGTCTGATTGGATAACTCAAAAGGAATTTGATCCTCCTCTTACAGTGAATAGATGGTTAAGGCTAAATTACACAGTCGACGATGCTCGGATAAAAGCGAATAATATTGCTAGTGAGGACATCAATCAAAGAGCAATTTGGGAATATCTTAATTGTCAGTTTCATTGGTTTTTGCCAGGTCTCATGTTGTCTTTTTCATTATTTTAAAACTCTTATCATCTAGTGTGTGTGCCTCTTATATTGTTCTTATTTAAATATTAGCATTATGAAATAATAAAGTTTCTTTCGGTATCTTTTTTAAAATATACTAAAGTAGTCACTAGGGCAGCAAAGTGGTTGTTAAATTATTGGAATCCCACCCCCGTCTTTAGTCCGTTGTCCATAGGATTCATTACAGGTGATCCTTGGTTGTGGATCCTTCTAGAGCTTTGCTCTGTGTTGAGACATATCTCTTCTTGTTCCCCCTCTATTCGTGTAGAGATAGGAAATGAGTGAGTTATGTGTGGCGTTGAGAAGCCAGTGTCTGGCACATGCCCAGAGAAACACAGCCCAGTGGAGAGCTGATTGGCAATAAAGAACACAGCACGTGAATGTATTTGAACAACGAACCCCCCAGCTGATCACTGTTCACTACAGAACTCACACCCCAGAGAAGCAACCGACGGAGAGGGTGGAGAGTCTTCTTTGCCAATGGAGTGTGATTATGTAACTGGAAGGGAAATGAGGGCCAGGTGAAGCCCAAAATATCATTTCACCATGTCTCCAAGGGATCACAGAGAGTATGCATTCTAAGCCAGTAGTTCCCAAGCTTCCTGATGTGGCGACCCTTTAACACAGTTCCTCATGTGGTGGGGACCCTCCACCATAAATTATTTTCGTTGCTACTTCATCACTGTCATTTTGCTACTGGGATGACTTGTCAAGTAAACATCTGACAGGCAGGATATAGTTTCATTGTTACAGATTGAACAAAATCAAAGCATAGTGATTAATCACAAAAACAATATGTAGTTATATATTGTGAAATATTTATTTCTAATAAAAAATCCATGAAATTGTGTCTTGAAGCATGGTGTGACATGGGTAAAAGTCTTCAGGCCAGGTACTCGCGTGGGGTGGTATCTGCATGTGGGTGGACCCGCATGGAGACGGAGAGAGGGGCGGTGTCTCAGTTCCTAAGACCATTGGAAACCGGTGTTTTCCGATGATCTTAGGCGACCCCTGTGAAAGGGTCGTCCGACTCCCACAGGGGTCGTGACCCACTGATTAAGAACCGCTGGTCTAAACAGATCGTGCTTTAGGGGAACCCCAAAGATTTAGTTTCGGTGTAAAGTAGTTCCAGGAGTCGATTGGAGTTAAGCATTGGTGTGATATAATTCAGCTTTTCGATGTGTTGCGTTCCACTGAAAGGGTCCAATAGGGGGACTGTTAGCAGTTTCCTGCCAGCTTTAATCCTCCGCTCTTTGTTTACAAACAAATCCATGCTCCTCACGTCATGCGTGCAGCCTGCAGGCCAATCGATGACGTCATCACAACCTGCAGCTGTGAGTGTCCGCCCAGAGGCGCAGAAGGATCCGACCAGAAAGATGCGCAAGAACCCTCCTGCCTAAAAGAGTTATGAAGATCTTACAAAACCCAAGATGAGTCTGTCCTCTCTGATCCCTCTGGTACTGCTGTCTCAGCACGCACTTAACTGCTCTCGCTCTGACTACTTTCTGGATTCTCCTGTGAGAATCTCTCTCTCTCTCTCTCTCTCTCTCTCTCTCTCTCTCTC